AACTGTTATTAGCTAAGGGGTCGTTCAAATTTTGTAATTACAATAAAGTAATTTAATGCTATTTGATTTTTGACACCGGTAGCATATTTTATTACTGCATAGTCATGATAATTGTAACAAGAGTTTGTGCCCAGGGGTGTGTGTCCATGTAGGGTTGTTGCATCATCCGAGTTTTGTTTCATTTACTGTGTCATCTCTCCCCAAGCGTCCGGCGTTATTTCCCACAGGGGCTGTCCCGTGTCCGACATAATAGATTTAATCATATGACTTCCCAGTGAACAGGGAATCTTTCGTAAAAGCTACAAAACCATTGTTATACTTATCGCGTTCCACACAATCGCGAATGTTTGGTTTGCAATTGCATAGCTTCTTTCAGCAGTTTTTATCATAAATACAAACCAAGTTATTATAATGTTGTCATGTAACTACAAAGCAGACTTAAAATTAATAGTAATTAGTTTTTAAGTTTTTTAATTCATTGGTTTTTTGGAGAAAACTAGCTTACTGTACTAAGCTTTGCTCCACTTTAACGTTTTAAACTTAACAACATTAACAACATTAATAGCAATATAAGTTTATTGCAAACTTATGTTTAGTATTAGTACTATATTTAACTGTAATAAAAAATTTAAATACCCCCGCCGCAGCAAATCTGCAGACTTAGCGAATTTCCATTTGCCTGATTGGATTTAAACTAAAATGTCTCCTTAAAAATATCACATTTATTCCCTATTTAAACAGAATTAGTTTAATGAGTACTTAGGTTTGCTGCAACAGGGAGGGTAAAAAAGTTTTTTATGTATAATATTAAAAGGTACTGTGGTTTAGTAAGAAATTAATGTATTTTCCAACTTTTATCAAAATATGCTCATAAACAAGCAAACTACAACAGTTGACTTATTGTCCATAAGAATAACATGGGAATTTTAAAATTACAATTTTTTTGAATTTTCTCCGTAACAATTAGGCGCATAATATTGCTTCAATATACTAAATTATTTGTTTTTTTTTAAGCTCTACAAAATGGTTTAAAAAGAAATTGTGAAATTTTGTGTTTTTAGGGTCAAAAAAGGGAAAAACCTATTTTTACCCCATAAAACCCCCCATAAACCCCCGTTCCAATAGTCCGATCATGCTGGTTCGCGAACTCATTCAAGTTTATCCCGCCTTACACCTTCAAACCAAATTTTATCAAAATCGGACAAAAATTACTCAAGTTATCGTGCGGATGGACACATATATATATAATATATATATATATCTATATATAGATATATAAAAATTTGAACGAATGGTGTTTTTGGCCTCTGGTGACATCAAAATGAAAAAGCAAAACGGTCCCGGGCTTAGGTCTTACCATGAGACCTACGGTAATAGCTACTTCCCTATAGGGAAATTCGCTAAAAGGGTAAAATCTTTAGAGTTTTGATAAATTCACCATAAACCTGGTTGTATATAACAACAATGGCTGTGTTGAAGATGGGGAAAGAAAAGTGTAAAACTTATAGCAGCAGAAGCAAAATGAAGTTTTAAAGCAAACAGACAAACTAATTACCAACTCTATTGTTTTACTTCATAGAACGTCGCTGATCGCTCGGCAAACGTTAACTCGGAAAAATTAATTTACCAACCCCCTCTTTACTTGGTAAGAAAACAAAAAACTGCCTTCTACAGTACAAGACACATCGTATAACACAACATTTGATTTGATGATTTAAGCATAAGACTAGTGTACTTTCTTTCTGTTTGTCTGTTTGATTGTAGATTACTTCCCTTCTTAGTAAACAAATGTTGAATTTATTTTTTAAATCACATATGCAGGAAATCTTTAACTTTTCAAAGTTTTGATTATTTGTGATATTGCTGTATATTATATGTTAGAGCTAAAATATCTTAAATTGTTTACTAGCTTATACTTTATTTTTTATTTATTTCAAATCAATCCAAACAACTATAACATCTAACCTAACATTTAACCTAGTTTCAATACAAAAGAGTTTTTTTCATAACAAGTAATGTATTACAATAATTTAAGGAACAATAAGCTGTGTTTCTATCCGTCAAGACAGTAAATCTAGTTTTGGGGAAGGCAAGGGGAAGTGAGATAAGACGAGGCGACAGTGTAGGAGTCATAAATGATGAGGAGGATCCCTACTGGGCAGCTAAACAGTTTGCTTGCTGTGTCTTGGCTAAGTGAATTATACCAAGTCCTTTCCTCTTTCTAAAGAAACTGAACTGAAATCCTTTAAAATGTCTATAACTTAATATAATGTCTATAACTTAAGTTTTCCTTGGAAAAACTTATCGATGTAGGTAGAAGAGACTTATAACCTATAACTCACATTATACTTTGTTTAAAGCAATTTTGGGTTTGACTGTTTGGGTTTAAAACTTAATCTAACGGGTTAACAATGAAAACTGTTGTATAATGTTACACTGGAACTCCGGATCCGGAAAATTTCCGTAAGAGTTTAATTGCCTTATTAAATTAGAACTATCAACGCTAGCGCAGGCGGCTGCTCGGTGCGGCACTCGCACCGGCATACGGGACAAAAATACTGTGACACACTATCGTTTATCGCTCCGTACATTGGACTAATCTTTTCTTTGATCTTTCGCCAAAAAACCGCCTTAAGATCGCTCGTCTCCCTGCTCGGCCTGATGTCTGGTTCACCGTCTGGATGAGTGTACGGCCATCTGTCACACTATCGAACAATATGCTTCCTTCTACCTCCCTTCTCTCTTCTCCCTGCTCGGTTCCGAGTCTTGATCGAGGAAAAGATCAATAGTGTGTCACCATCTTAAATAGAGAGCAAGACCTACCTCTGTGCTTTCTTTGCTTGAGAAAATCTGCTATTGACACAACGCGGGAAAACTGTGTAACTTCCTTAAAAATCCAGGCTGAAAAAATTTTGAGGAACACGGAAAGAAAATTAAGCCCAGTTTCAGTCGGAGACAAAGTGATGTCTAGCCTAGAAATACACACAACCTGACGTGGACAATCCGTGCTTAAGTCTGAATTCAGAGTTTGAGTGTAACATACGAGGTTCTTTAATAAAATGTTTTATCTGAAAGAAACCACGTTAACTTTCTTATGCACACTATGGAAATCGCGCATGGATTAATTAATTTAACGAAACTGTGTGTAAGTTTTAATTTAGCTTAAAACAATAACTCAAGCCAGGTACACAATCCAGGATAATAGTTGAACAATAAATTACCAAACTTCATTAGGAATATATTGTAAGCAAACCAATTAGATTTATAACTAGAGGAAAACAATAAAAAATAATCCTGTATAAAACCAGTATATTATTGAAATATAGTGGTTTCTGGTTCAAATAAAAACATACGAGTAATAATGTATTTTATAAAATACAAAATGAATCCTAACTATCATTGGAATGTTATTTTTTCAATTCTACGTCTCAGATAAACAACTCTGAATTACAGGAGTTCCAGAGCAGTGGCGAAATGAAGTTTTAAAGCAAACAGACAAAACTAATTACCAACTGTATTGTTTTCCTTCACGAGACGTTCGATCGCTCGGCAAACGTCATCTTGATAATTAATTTCTTATTCTTTCATTTTACGAGAAATTAAACCTTCCAGCCTCAAATGTAATTGGCGTTAGCTCAAGACCTTAGTGAATAGAACTTTATAAGTGTTTGTAATTTAGCATAACAGTTACACACTGATAAATTCTTACAAAATCCGGGTATGATTTACTTACTATTCATCATTGGAGTGTTATCAATGATGTTAATCGTCAAATAAAACAACGTGTTTGTTTTGAATTGTTCAATAAAAGTACATTACAGACCATGATAAAAGAATATCATAATTATGTGCAAGTTTTGACTCAACGAATGCAATACCGATGCAATGAGGCACTAAGAGCAAAGTAGCACAGCTTCATGTTTATATCTTCAGCATTACAACGACAAATGCGTTGTTTCATTTACTGCCATCCCTCCCCTTGTGACCAAGAATGTCTCCCTCGGAGAAATCTCTCCCACGTACTGCATAGCGAGAATAACAATTATATTACGAGTTTAATTACTTCAAAATATAGTTCAACAAAATCTTTATGTTTACCACGATAAATTTCAGCTTAACTATATCTTATAACTATAACTATATTATAATTATAACTATAACTATTATAACTATATCTTAACTATTGTAAGTAATAAAAATATATTATACTGTTTAAAATATTTGTTTTTGTATTGAAATATTATATAGCCTATTGTTTTGCTGAATGGCCAAATAAATCATCGAATCATTGAAATGCAATGTATCACCCACTGAGGTTGGTAAAAAAAACATTTAAAAATGTCTTTAGATTCTTTTACATGTGTACGTGTATGTATACAGAGCCCCCTGTAAGTAAGTACAAAAACATCAGAAATAGATTTATTAGGTCGAAATAAAACCTAAATCAAGTACAAAGTTTTTTTCCAAAAAATGCTTCGTTAATCATATATCTTCCATTTCATTTTTTTGTTTTACATTTTATATCTGAATTTAAAGTATTATCGCATCTAATGTTATAAATTACAAAATAAAAATAAATGCCGGATATCTCTTTAACGAAGCATTTATGGAAAACATGTTCTTAATTTTTGTTTTATTTTGACCCATTCGACATATTCCTGAATTACCCTTCTTACTTACGGGTTACCTTGTATATATGCATAATATGTATGAAAATATATGCAAATTGTCTAGTAAAATATTTTGAACTACCACGCTGTATTATCATATGAAAAGTATGTTTGCGTAGTTGCATTACGACGTGTGCTACTAATAACGTGTGTGGTTGGGTTAAATTATGTTCTCAGTAACATAAGAATGTAAAGATTTAATAGTTCGAGAACGTCCGACAAGCGAAAAGACTTAAACATGTTGTATCAAACCATTGTGAGTTTTTTTTTTATTTGGCTACTATAAATAGATATACCGTAAATAGTTTATGGAATCCAGTTGTGTGATACCTGTATTGTAGACTGGTAGACTGGAGAGAAAGTCGCGAGGGGCTGTGAGCAGGAGATAGTCGTAAGGGATGTGCTGGCGAGGGCCGAGTAGTGGGGGGAGAGGGCTGACCTGGGGACGACACTGCTTCATCCTGGAACACGATAAAACCATCGTAATAAGGCCAAGGATCGTGTATCTATAGACTGGTAGACTGGAGAGAAAGGCGCGAGGGGCTGTGAGCAGGAGATAGTCGTAAGGGATGAGCTGGCGAGGGCCGAGTAGTGGGGGGAGAGGGCTGACCTGGGGACGACACTGCTTCATCCTGGAACACGATAAAACCATCATAATAAGGCCAAGGATCGTGTATAATATACAGACTGGAAGACTAGAGAGAAAAGTGCGAGGGGCTGTGAGCAGGAGATAGTCGTAAGGGATGAGCTGGCGAGGGCCGAGTAGTGGGGGGAGAGGGCTGACCTGGGGACGACACTGCTTCATCCTGGAACACGATAAAACAGTCATAATAAGGCCAAGGATCGTGTATAATATACAGACTGGAAGACTAGAGAGAAAAGTGCGAGGGGCTGTGAGCAGGAGATAGTCGTAAGGGATGAGCTGGCGAGGGCCGAGTAGTGGGGGGAGAGGGCTGACCTGGGGACGACACTGCTTCATCCTGGAACACGATAAAACCATCGTAATAAGGCCAAGGATCGAGTATCTATAGACTGGTCAGCAGGAGGCTGAAACCAAGCATGATAAAATCGCATGTAAATAGTAAATTTACGTAAATTAATTCCTCCAAAATTACACTCAGAATATCCTTGAACTTTCTAAGTTTTTTTAGCGAATTTCCCTATAGGGAAGTAGCTATTACCGTAGGAGGCATGGTAAGACCTAGACCCGGGACCGATTTACTTTTTCATTTTGATGTCCCCAGAGGCCAAAAACACCATTCGTTCAAATTTTTATATATGTATATATATATAGACTTATATATATATATATATATATATATATATATATATATATATATATACGTCCGTGAACGCGATAACTTGAATAATTTTTGTCCGATTTTGATGAAATTTGGTTTAAAGGTGTAAAGCAGGATAAACTTGAATGAGTTCGCGAACCAGCACGATCGGACCATGGGAACGGGGCTTTACGGGGGGTTTTATGGGGTAAAAATTGGTTTTTCTCACTTTTGACCCTCAAAACACAAAATATCCCGATTTCTCTTTAGACCTTTTTAAAGAGCTTAAAAAAACAAATAATTTAGTATATAAAAGTATATTTGTTTGATTATTAGTAACGGAGAAAATTAAAAAAATTTTAAATTTAAAATTCCCATGTTATTCTTATGGAGAAATTGTCAAATGTTGTAGTTTGCTTGTTTATGGATATATTTTGATAAAACTTGGCAAATTTATTTATTTTGTACTAAGCTATCAATATTTTACTCAAAAACACACTTTATTAGTTTCCTTGTAGCAGCAAACCTAGGTACTCGTTAATCCTAATGTTATTAAAATATATTTAACTGAAAATCAATTCAGACAAATGGAAATTCACTTAGTCGGCAGGTTTGCTGCGGCGGGGGTATTTTTTATATTTAGCTATTCTTAAAGGGAGTGCATTTTGGAAACAAAGAGACACGTGTTCAATTTAAATCCACATAGGCAAAGACCCTGCCAATAGCTAAGAAAATGCACCCAGCATGTGAGGATGTTAGTAAGTGAGTCCTGATTATTGTGGAAGGGGTAGCATCGGCAGCTGACTGCAGATGGCACCACATGTCTCGGGTATTCACCCTTCTCAACTCTCAACTCGATAATTTGCATGCATTTACTGAGTTGTCTTGGTATAATTTAAATAAATCAATCCGTTTTCTCCTTTAAATCGTTTGGAAGAAAATGCTTTAAGTTCAAGGTTCATACAGGATTTTTTAGCTACTAATATTTTGTGAAGGCTTCCATATATTAAAAATAAGTTTTTTAAAACCTTTTCTAAAAAAAAAATTAAAAAAACTATGTATAATAAAGCGTAAAGCATGTGTAATAATATGCAATAGACTATAAAATACATCTTGTGACCTTGCTTGAGGAAAATATTAGTTGGATGTCAATAAATTAATTACTATGCATTCACTGTTGTTTTATGCATTATACTACCATTTTTGAAGATCAAAACAATGGGTTGGTATATGAAATCTTTAAAAGAAAAAACAGGAAAAATCTGCGGTTGTTGGCTGTTTATCCGCAGGACCTTCGTACGAGTAACGTCAGGAAACTTCGGGGCACTAAGAGGCATAGGGAACTTTGGTGTTTAAAACTATTTTTCTAGAAAATTATTCTTGTATATACATTTTATAATACTAAAAATATTTGAACTTGTTACTCTACAATCATTGCCTATTTTGTCGTTTAAGATTATTTAGAACAAATCAAGTGAAACCTGTATAATTGCCTACATCCATTTTTCGGCTCAGCCAAACTACCGTTCTTCTCATTACAGGTTGAGGGATTCTATTTTCCTTTGCACAGCAAGTAACCTCAGCACATTAGCTAAATACCAGCGATCAAAGGCAGGATCTCTTCAATAACATCGTCGTTTTATGCATTATACACGCTCTATCTAATGTTTACAAGCCACTAGGTATCGTCATAATCTCAATCCTATGTTACTTCGTGGTCCAGATAAAAAGTTTAAACATACGAAGTGTATCGGGTTTCTTTGAAAGTATGGGACATTAGACTTAACGAATAAAACAAATGTTTTTGAAGTTTGACTTTAAAATCAGATACTGCCTGTTCACGAGAGATGAAAAGGATAATATTAACAGTCAAGCTTTAGGGGAACATTTTGGAATAACACTCGCGCGAACAATTTCATATTTGTCAAAATTAAAATCTATTATAGAATTTGCTAGATTCCATTATTAGTACTAGATTTGCTTGAACTACTTTCATTCGTTAGTAAGTTAAGTACCTGGGGACTGAGACATGGCCCGGTGTAGTTTATTTCCATTTTAAAAGCAATATATAAAACTTACGTTTTATGTACAACTATTTTTAATTTGTATTATTTACGTTTCAGTGGAATTTCAATTTATTACGATGGGAATTTTAACCTGGCAATTTACAACACATTTATTTGTTTTACAGTCGATGGTAAAAATCACTCGTTTATAATATCATTAATAGCCTATAGGCTACTTACAAAAACATTATTTTAAGAGTTTGTTGAAATTAAAATAGGTGATTGATAATTTTAATCGGGCCTATTTTCACCTATAACGAGTAATCTTCAGTGTCATTTTTGTTTAGTAACAACTGATATTTTCCCTTTTTACTGTAGGCCTACTTTGTAGTTTAGTTGGGTACTGTGGATAGCTTGTTATAAACAAATGTTACAAGTCTTTTATTTACTCGTTCCTTGTTATTTTGTTCAAAAAACATGGTTACTTGGCAACCCATAAGTCCAATGTTAAAAACTTTTGACTTTCAATTTTATTTTTTACGTAATTAGATTTTTGTTGGCAGTTTTAACTGCAGTAAACACAATTTTAGGCTAGAAATAAATAATTACATTATTTGAATGAAATCGTCGAAGAGATCTTCGTGGAACCATACATTCAAAAAACATTGCTTGTATAAGATATATTTTTTGTTGGCAGGGTAAAGTTGATATTTACAATTGATTGATATTTATTTAGGCAACAATTTATATATAATATTTATATGATATTTATTTAGGGTTACAATTTCAAATATTTACCCCGAAGTTGCTTATAACTTATAATTTGTTATTCCTATACACAATAATTTAGATATATATCAGTATTTTTGGAAATCTATCATGCAAATAGAATCGGTATAATTGAGCAAATAGAGAGTTAGTATAATTTATCGATGTATTTAACCATTCTTAAACCATATATAAAGCTAATTGGAGAATTTACAGTCAATATGTCCCCACTACTTTATATTAGTAAAATTCTTTTGATTTTAAGAAAATGCTGCAAGTTTAATAGCACGACTCGCCAGAACACGTAAGTCTTATAAAGTTGATTCAACATCGAATACAACAGAGTTACAAATAACCCAAAACAGCTATTGCCGTGCAATCAGTGTATTTAATCGCTCACTCTCGGTGAGAAAACGAGTGTTTGTCTACGTGACCTCCTTGAAACACCCTTTGTAGCACACAGATAGAGTCAATGCAATATAGCAGCCTCCACCAGGTCTGTGTCAACCGAGACGGGTGTTATGTGTTCCTTCTCTGCAAACTAAACACAACAGGCCCCACTACGAAATATCCCTGCCACAGCAAACTTGCAGACTATACGAATTTTCAATTATTCGGATTTACATAAAAATATTTCCAGAAACATGTAAGATTTATTCTTTATTTGATTAAAATTGGATTAATCCAATACTTAGGCGCTGCTGCAAAGAATCCTACAAAGAGTTTTTGATAAAAAAGTAATAGGTCAGTTTGAAGTAAATAAATTTGTTTAACATATCCTACAACAGTTAACTTAATCTTCATAAGAAAACATAAGGGTTTTAAGTGTACATTACGCGTACAACAACGCTTCAATATAGTAAGTTTGTTTATTTTAAAGCCTAACACGGTAATGAAATGAAAATTGGACATTTTTTTTATTTGAAAAACCGATTTGTAAAACATTAAAAACCCCATAACACCCAGCTGCAATTACTAGATCTTGCTGGTTGGTGAATTGTGAAAGTTTACATATAAATCCACCATTGCTCAAGTTATCCTGCTTACGGAAAAATACATATATAAACCTTTTATCATTATTATTAGTCTTTTAACTACTGTTACACACAAAACTTCTTTATACTCAACAAATCTTGATGTATTATGGAATCACATAAAATACTACACTTTGTTAGTTTCTAGTTACCACTATTTACCAGACATATGTTCGACAATATGAACTCACTATGAAAGTTTTCCTTATTTCAATGTCCGCAAGACATTATAAGATCCTACCGAGGTAGAATAAAGTCTTTGTAAGATGACATCTGTTGTGAACGAATCACAACACTAGAATGGATATGAAGTAATTGCATTACTAAACTGACAAGGTTCCCAGATTGGTTCAAACACCTGTCAAGCTCCTACCTCAGGCGACAGGCGACGTGCCCTCGCGCACTACAAACCCTCTCTCTCACACACTAACTTGTTTACTTTCACCTCGTTATACGGGTATAAAACCAATGATAAAACATCGGTTAGTATTATCCATACTGGCACTCGAACAGATTATTTTTTTAAACTATTTTAACTTTAAGAGTTGAGGACATATTTTGAGTTTCAATCGTGTACTAGAATAATTTAGAAGATAAAAACCATCTGATGAATAAGCTAAAATAGGGATATAACAGCTCATTAAAGGACAACATTTACATTAGTTCATGTTGATTTATTGATATTAATAACATTCTATGCAATTTTTCTATGCATTTATTGAAAGAACATTCAACGTATAGTTATTCTTAAAAAATCTACTATTTCTAAGCTGCTGCCTTTGTCATTTATGAATAGGCTTTGTTATCTACTCTGATTTATTTATGGTTTATTGCAATGGTCAAATAATTATGTATTTGAAGTGATCCAAGATTTAACTACACAGTACAGATTTTGTCCAACAGTGTTATTTT